TTTGGCGTGGGGTTTGGGTTTTTTTTCCGAAGAAATGGGTAAATTATCCGTAAGAACAAGAATGGGAAGGTTTGGGCTCTCTTCACACCCCCCCAGGTGAGAAGGAGCAGGGGGGGCGTCCAGGCAGCCCCCCCAGTTCTTGGCACCCCTGGGATGATGCCCCAAGCTCCAGCCTGGGCATCCTGGGGCAGCGGCAGGGCGAGCTACCAGAAAGTTTGTAATCTGGGACACATCTCGCCTGTCCGTCGTTACCCCTCCTCTCCCTGCCTTTTTTTTTTTTTTTTTTATAGTCGCTTGCACTGTATGAATCATCTGTGGAGGGCCGCCGAGCAGGAGGAATACCCCTTTACAGCTGCTTTGCTATTTGCATCTACATTACCGGTGCAAACAACGCTGGGAGGAGCACCGTGGTGATAAATCCAAACCCACTGACCTTCCCCGAAAGGCGTAATCAGCGTGCTTGCTGAAAAAGTAACAGAAACTTGCATGGTGAGAGCTATAGAGGTTGCACATATTAAAAACTGTTCTTACCTTGTAGCTGCTGTTACTGCTGGCAATGAGTAGCAGGTAACGTTAAGAGATGGTTCGTATGGTCCTTAGTGTTTTGTAGGCCGCCTGAATGTGAAAATAGAATAAGTCCTCATCTGCCAGACCATAAACCCCTCTGAAACTTCACGGATAGGAGATTTTTAAGAGAATGCGATAATTAAGTAGATTGTCAAAATCCACTGTTTACACATGAACATTTGTGACCGATAATAAAATTTAAGTATTCTCATCTAACAAAATTAACTATTAAAGTCTCTATCTTTTCCTTGCTAATAGAATTCAGTAGCAGGAATTAACTACAGTAAAAAGTGAGCCCTAGGAAGTCATGTTTAAGGTCCCAAGCAAAACCAGCCCCTACGTTTGTGGGTAATAATGCCACGTACCTTTTAATTTAGCCCAACTCTGTGTGCTTAGCACTTAGTAAGAGAGAAACTTAGAGAATGCTAGTCTATTAACTTTAGGCCTATGCAAACGATAAGCTGTACAAATACCGAGAACTTTAAAAAAGCCCCAAACCCACGTCTTAAAGTCATAATTGTACCAATCTCCAGTGCAGTCAGGCCTAAGTTCAATAAACTAGCTTCCTCTTTCTTTAAATAGGAATGTGATTGAAAAGAAACGAATATATATACTATATATACTAGTACTAGCTCCCTGTGGGCACTTTTACGTTGGGATGGCTCAATTCTCTACTTGCTTGCATCCATGTTAGATAGATTGAATCGGTTTAATTGTATCAGTAGAAGAACCATGATAAACTCCTGTGAAGCTTCACCCAAGTGGTCACTTTGCATGGTTCGTCTCTAGGAATTAAGCCACAGAAGAAGCTGCCAGAGATTGGCTTTGCCGCAGACTTACTGTTTTGATGATCCTCAGACAAATCTTTGCGCTCGTTCTTCCTTCTTTAAGTGGGGTGGTGTTTCTAAAATGTTTATAGGACACTGTTA